TTAGAGAAAGTCATTGTTGCATGCATTAGTATATTAGAATATTTCATATGAAAGAATAACATATTAAAAGATTTCTTATAAATATATAAAAGATTAGCATGAATATTGATTTATTTTCTTTGGATTATTGTAGTTTAGAAGTGTGATTACTTATGAGTTATCTTTAGATAACTCATTATGCTACTTTAATATTTTTTTTTCAGGTTTAAGAATCTGATTAAGATAAATAGAAGATGATCAAATGTATACAAAATGCACGAATAACAATCAGAAAGGTACAAATTTTCAATTGTTAATTAAATTTTCTTTATTTAGTGGCTCTTGCATCAATATTTGAGTATTTAATTGTTAGTGATATAAATAGAAAAAATAGAAAATTTATTGTCCTCCATCTGATCGTATGTTTCTGTTTTGGTTAATTCCAAGCACTGGGTTAGGTCGTGACCATTAGAATTTGTTGCGGAGTGATAAATAATATCTAATTATATCTTATTTACATAGAAGAAGTTGTGTCCATAATTTTTTACATTATTTTTGAATATGCTTATAAAGGATATTGAAAATGATAGATTTTTGTATCTATTTTTTTTGTTGATATGATCTAGTTGATGAGATATTTTTGAAATTTGTGAGTGCTAGAAGAATGGAATAAGGAGTAAAAAAACATAGAATTAGTAAAATAGACATTGAGTCTGTGCTATGTAATTTAAATAGGCGTGATATTAATATCTATCAATCAATATTATTAGGACATAAATTGATAGCCAATTTTGATATGCTTTAGTATCTTGGATCTATTATATAGTGGATTAGTGCGAATGTGTTATTTCTAGAGTTAAGGTTTGATGTTTAAAATAGAGAAGCGATACATGAGTTTAATGCGATACGAGAATATCAGAAGCATTTAAAGGTAAGTTTTATAAGATTATAATTAGGTTGACAATGTTTTAATCTAAATATTAGTTAGTTAAATATTGATACCTAAGTTGAATATGGTAGAAATTATACTATTTAGATGAATGCTTGATAAAATTAGGAAGAGCTGGTTAAGAAAAATGATTATTCCCTTTGATTTCTCTTGAAAATGTTGGATTTTTAGGAAGATTTTACTTTTAGGATCTTCTTTTATTAGTATTTTCTATCCTAATATTATTGTTCTCCGAATGTTAGAGTCATCATCTTTATTTAACTTATAATCATTGTTTATACAATTGAAGAGGAATAATAATTTTTTTTCCTCCAAAATTTACATGGTATCGAGTCTGTAAACCACAACCTAAAGTGCCCTTTCGAAGACCAAACTGACGTATCGGTCAAACGAGATGCAACTGTTCGAGTGTCTCTTCCTTTGAAGACGCTGCCATCTCTTTATAAGCTGCTTGTACCTTCCTATGTCTCCTTTGAAAACATTGCTTCTCCTTTGAAGCCTTTTTGCCTTCCTGTCTTCGTTGAAGTTGACTTCTCCTTCATAGTCAGTGGGTCGTGCTTTTTAATTGAAGCGGCTGACTTCTCCTCCAACATAACTTAGTATTCCATGTCATTGTTAGTTATTTCATTTTCATAGCCTTTTTCATATCCTTCCAAACTCACACCACGTTCTCTCATGCCATCATATAAGTAAGTGATGATGACTAAAGTTCAATAAAATTCGACCACATCCACTGGCTACATTAATTCTAAAACCACTTCGGCTCACAATGCAACCCTTTTTTTTTCGATCTACATCGGTTGATTACCACTCATAATCTAGCACCTTGTCTCACTGTTATTAAACTTAACGGCACAACTATCTCAATTGGGCTCAACCCATAAAATTAATGATTGGTGGGAGAGGCAAAATTGGATATCTAATCACAGAAACTCTAAAGCCTATTGTCGACGATCCAAATCTGAAAAAATAACAGTTCAAAAATTTCCTAATTATGCCTTGGCTCATTAACTAATGAAACCTACCATAGTGAACCTCATCTATTCATATCCACTGCTCAAGATATTTGGGAGGCCGTTCAAGGTCTTTATTCAAACTTGGAGAATTCTTTCCAATTTTTTGAGTTAAAAACTCAACTTTGGAAATCAAAATAATGTTTGTGATATTACTACATATTACAACGAGTTGATAGCATTATAACAGAAACTTGATCAATATGATGATGACATTTGAGAGAATTTGAATGATTATGCTCACTGAAGGAATAAAGAAGAAAACGATCAAATCCAAATGTTCTTATTCGATCTTAATCGGAATTTAGACGTGGTCCAAGGTCACATCCTCGGTGGAAAACCCGAAACCTAAATTTGAGAAGTTTTCTCTGAAGTTAGACAGGAAAAGTTAAGAAAAGAATTTATGTTGTGCAACACTGAATCTTCTTGTTACACTAAACATGAGGGGATTGATACTTACAAAGAATGGCGTGAGAAATCATGGTGAGAGTATTGCAAAAAACTTGTCACATGAAGGAGAGATGTTGGAAGCTTCATTGTAAAACTACAAATTGAAAATCAAAATCTATGCGTGAAGGTTTTGCTTATCAATCTACTACTCAAAAAACTGAGGAGTGGCCTGCTAACCTGAACTCGACTCGACCCAGACGTGGGTAACTCGAACCCGATCCATTTTAACTTGTTTAATATAAGGGTAACAATAATTGATGTTAAATCAAGCTAATTTCGGGTCAATTTTGAGTCATTCTCCGGTCAATTTTGGATAGGCTGGTCGAATTATAGTAAAATTCAGGTTGGCGGGTCAATTTCAAGAATGATACGTCAACCCGAACTTGTCTCAAAAATTAAATGGGTTAAAAATTTTAACTAGAACTTGAATTTTTCTAGTCGGGTTCTAGTCGACTTGTCATGTTGGGTCAATTTTTGACATCTCTACTATGTATGTCGCCTTTTTTGAACTCTAGCATGTATAGTCCCTTTTTTTCATTGCATTTTTTTAGGAGAGAACAAAATAAAGTTTTGTCCACATTGGATTTTTTTTTCCAAATCGAAAGCTCTCAAACCTGTATATCCTCAACATTGATTATTCAACTTGAAAGTCCAAGTGAAATTATATAAGGAGAAAGTGTGTTGGATCTTGTAGATAGTGAAATTTCTACAACGTTAACTCGTGATTTTCATAAGTAAGAAGAAACATGAAAAGAAACTACGACAGTAGTACCATTTGATTTTGTCTTCTCACGGCAAAGAATAACTCAAAAGAAATGGTCTTTGAATCCTTTGCACTGCCCATAATCCGTTTTGAGAAGGGTTAGGAACAAGCTGGGAATAAAGCCAAGGAGGCTTATTGGATATTATGGACTCTTTTAAAAGTAGATAAGAGAAAGAAAGAGAGTTTGCAATAGTAGAAGCGACTATTCTCCAATGATTCAACTCAAATGATTGATGATTTACAAAACCAAATGATAAACTACACTTATGAGAGATTAGATAAGCATAACTGAGAGGGACCTATACTATCTAGCAATGCAGTGATGCTATCTTGTTAGCTTATTACAATAGTTGATATACTATAAATTGTACGTGATAATTCATGAATCTAATACTCTCAATCTTCACTCTTGATGGGCGGCTAAATTCCCCCTTGTATGACTTGATTTGTGGAATTACTTTTAACTCACTCATTGTTTTTTCAAGTTTTTTTTTTTTTTAATTTTCCTCAAACGTAGGTCGCCTTCATGAGGTTGCATATAATCATGTCTTTATAGATGAGTTGGAGTCATTTGACATAAATTAAATAAAAAATTATTTGTGATAACATGGGGCACCTTGCTATTTTTAATATAATTTGAGTTTGCTAGAGACTATCTGCTTTGTTCAATTCAGTAGTGCCTTGAGAGTCTCCCACCATCAAGTTTTGGGATATTGCTTTCAGAAGACTCGCTTAGGGTCAAAGGCAAGAGCTAGAATTTTTATTATTTGAAAAAAAAACTTGAAGTATATAAAATATACGACTTCTGATCTCAAGTGAAAATTGCTACTACAATCAATTCACCAAAAGGTGGTTGCAATGCTAAATAAGCCACAAAAAACCTATCTTCTTTTTCTTATGATGAACATTTAAGGAAAATAAGGAATTGGTCTTTTGTTGTGTATCTTATGTGGATTCTGGTTGTTTTTTTGTTAGGTACTGCATAAAGATGATAAATGAGTTTCTTTTACATTTCTTTTTTTGTTGAGATTTGTGTTCTGTTCTCCTAAAAGAAGTTTGAACAATGATGTCGAAGAATTTGTCTTGAAGACTCAGTTTTCCTGATGATGAAAATGGTAACAATTTTCTTTCTTTGGAATTAGGTTGGACATTTTTCAGACTCAATCTCTATCTTAACCTTCCTGGCATACTTTGTTCTTTTCTGTTTTATAACTGTGACTACTTCTGTGATACGACATGAGGTTTGTTTTCCATTTTGATTACAATTAGAGATTGAACTATGTTATGAAACACTAGCATGACTCCTTTTAAATTGGAATAAAAATTAGGAAGGATGAGGCGATATTTGCTTATTAATTGAACAACTATCACATGCGCCTTTTCAAATCTATTATCAAATATCATTATGGAGAACCTTGTTAGTTAATGGAATAAATCTTCTGAAGTCTTTTAATGGACGGCCTATTAAGGTTACAAATGAGAGTTTAATTGAATAAATTATTCGACGAATAAGCATTTCAACAATTGTAAACAAATAATGTGTCTCTACTGCAACCTTAGTCAAATCTTATAGTCAAATCTTAAATACGCACAAATCAGATGGAAGGAAAACTTAGGGGAATTAACTCAATTAAGCTTTAGGAAATCACTTCATCATGGAAAGAATCTGACTGGAACTTGCTCAAGTTTTGGCAATAAAGTGGTACCTTTATCTTCATCTTTTTGAAAAATCATTTTATTATTATTTTTTTTAAGGATGCTCGGATCTATAGACGGAATTCTCACCCTTATAAATTCTTTCTTCTTTGTTGCTTCCGTCTTATTCTCTTTAGAATTCTTTTTGCAGTGCTTTTGTTGCCCCGGTTGACATTCAAATATTTACTAATGAATCAAAAAGCAAGCTATTAGCTCGATGTCAGGGTAAAACCAAGTATTTTGCTCAAGCTGTGGAGGAGATTTGTGAAGCTTTTGAAAAATTGCAAAAATCGTCAAAGGAATTGGGAAAAGGTTCTTCTAATGCTGAAATTGGCTCTATATATTCTACCGTTCAAGATGAAAGTCAACATCTCAGTAGCAGTAACATTGACGAATTGGAAGTTCAGAATGTGGTTCTTGGTAACTCTGAAGATGATAAAATTTTGGATTCTGCCAGTGAATTACGTTTGGAGCCATGCTCACAGAGCCGTAAGAGAACTGCAGCAACTGAGCTAAATGATGCTGCTTGCGAACCAGAATCTCCAGTTTTAGCATTTAAGAGGAGTAAATCATTGATTCATAACAAAAAAAGGCGAAAAGAAGCACGAGAAACTGTGGCTGAACCTGCTTATGATGGTGATAGATTAGAGCAAAATGCTTCTGTTCATCCAGAGGACACTCACGAAAAAGTTTCTGTAACATTTCCTGTAAACAAAATAGCAGAGTCTTCTTTCAAAATCTGCATGGATGACAAAGAACATAATGCCCCAACTTCGTATTTAGAAACTAAAAATATCAAATGGAAAGATGACACAAATGGTCAAGCAACAACATCTGAAATCGTTTCACTAAAAAATGAAAAGAATGTCGATCTGAAAGTACAAAACCATGATATTGGTCAAGTTAAAATAAAAAAGCTTCCGCCTGCAGCTTGTGCTTCTGTTCCTGAAGGTAGTGTTAAATCTGTAAGTGAAGAATCTTCCCGGGATTCTAAGAGGTTAGGAACACAGAGCCGCAAGAGAACTGCAGTGAATGAGCTTAATGATGCTGCTTGTGAACCAGAATCTCCAGCTTTGTCGTTTAAGAAAAGTAAATCATTGATTCATAACAAAAAAGGGAGAAAAGAAGCACGAGAGACTGTGGCTAAACCTGCTTATGATGGTGATATATTAGCGGAAAAAGCTTCTGTTCATCCAGATGACACTCACCAAAATGTTGCTGAAACATTCTCTGTAAACAAAGTAGCAGAGTCTTCTCTCAAACTCTGTAAAGATGACAAAGAACATAAGGTTCCAACTTCATATTCGGAAACTACAGATATTAAACAGAAAGAAGACACAAATGGTCAAGCAACAGCATCTGAAATGGAAGCAAATGTAGATCTGAAAGTGCAAAAACATCATATTGGACAAGCGAAAATAAAGAAGCTTCCACCTCCAAGTCGTGCTTCTGTTCCTGAAGGTACAGTTAAACCTGTAAGTGAAGATCCTAAGAAGTTAGGAACACGTGTTAACACTGTAAAAAGTTACAAGAGTTCAAAAATATTGAAGAAAACTAAAGCTGAAAATGCTTATCCGCCTAAAGGGGTTCCCAAGAAGGAGCCCTCTACATCTGAAGGCAAGATTGTTCTTCAATCATCTGTAGAAAATCCAGTTGATAATTCTGTTGGGAGCGTGAAATGTGAGCTGGTTAACAATGGAGATGCTCCCTCGGCTAAACGACCAAAAAGTGAAATGATAGTTAATGCGCCCAAAAGCTCTAGTATGAGCAAGTCCTCACATTTCACATCTAACAAGAGTAGGAATAGTGTCAAAAACAGAACATTGGGAGCTCAAAAGGCTGATAACTTGGCACCCATTGCGGAGTCTCATGATAAAAACCAGCCGGATTTAGTGAAACCATTTAAGGAATTAAATGATGTTTTAAATTCTTCTGTAACCATTGCAAATATTGCCAAGAAGGCATGTAAAAAATCAGGCGATCTTCTGAATTCTTCAGTCTCTGGCGTGGATACAGCTAAGATGAGCAACAATGGTGTTAACAAGATTAGTTCTAAACCCCTTGGCACACTTGCTCCTCAGAGAAGGAGAGCAGTAAGGTATGTTGATGAAGATGATGATGATGGTGAAGATTGCAGAACTCCAATTCATCGGGATACTACTTGTACTTTGTCGAGGGAACAGTCAAAAGCTCATGAATCTGTTGGGTTGATGCACACAAAGCGGGAATCTTCCATAGAATCTACTGTAGATGTTTCGACTGTCAGAAAGGCTAGTTCTAGGATGAAGGAAAGTATTAACAACAATATGGGATTTCTAAATGTTGCGAATAATTGTTCTTCAGCTCCTAGCCCCTGTAATGTTGATGAGAAAAAGTTGGATTGTGCGATAGGCTTGCTTGCTAGCCAGAATTCCGTGAGGCAAAAAACCAAGGAAACTGTTTCACCTGATATTAGAGCACAGAGCACTGCACTTAAGACTTTAGTTAACCCAGGAAATGTAGGAAAGTTGGTTAATCTCCAAGATATTAAGCCTCCTATTACAAAACTACCAACCACCGTGAGTTCTGTTCAAACTCATAGCTCGGCGAAAACTATGGGGACTTCAAATTATTTACGCAGTCAGTCAATTTCGCAGAAGAACAAACCATCTTCCGAGAAATCTAAAGTAAAATCTACTGTTCTGGTGACCATGGATACTGAAAATAGGTCTGATAATTTTTCCCTTGAATATGTTGCTGAGAAGGATGTTCTGACAGGCCAAAGGTACATATGTACTACATTTTTTTTTTTTAAACTAATTCATTCCGCTTTTGCATTTCATTGGAAAAAAAATGTAAATAAAGATTTTTTTCTGTCAATTTGATATTAGGGAGGCCAATTCTGCTGATTTATTATCTGAGAGCAAATTTATGGATTCCATGTCAATGAGGCATCTTATTGCTGCTGCTCAAGCTAAGAGGAAGGAAGCACATTCTCAACAACTGTATAATGGAAGTGATACCCCTGGCAGTGCTCCTACTCCACATCGTAGCCATGGGAGAAGCCCAAACCTTATGCCTGCTACCCATATTTTTTCATCCAGCGATGTTCAAAGAGAGAGAAAATGGTTTCATGCCTCTGCAGACACTGATTCCCCTCCAGCTTCACAACAATGTCTTCCTCTGAATTTGGAAGAGCACGAAAGTTATGATTGTAGAACTAGTACAGGTTACCAACAACCTGGCAATTCTTTGAGTGGCGGTACTGAAGCTGCTGTTGCTAGAGATGCTTTGGAAGGGATGATAGAGACATTATCGCGCACAAGGGATAGTATAGGGCGTGCAACTCGTCTTGCTATTGATTGTGCTAAATATGGTATTGCCAGTGAGGTGTGTGTACCTCTTTAACAACTAACTTGTTGAAGTTAGGGGCATTTACATGCTTAGCGAACAATTCTTTTATATTTACGTGTCTTGCACCTTAATTTTCTTATTTACACACATAACACTCAAATCTTTAATATCACATAAAAAACAACGTCATTGCCAATTTTTAAAAGTTAAATACACCTTTATATGCATAGTTTTAAAGCGTGAAAATGTGATGTAAATATGAATGTTTAGGTGTGAGATATGTAAATGCATAAGAACTATATGAGAAGCATGTAAATTTCAGGTTATTATATCTTTAATTGGTGAAATCATTGTGGCCTATATCATCAACTTGCTTGAATAGATAATACCTACTCCTCTTTGATTGTCACCTTCTATTCCATTAGAGCACTTCTTATCAGTTATAATGCCCGTTAATGGTTAGTAAACCCTTTTCCTTACCCTTTTTCTGCTTAATTTTTCAGTGATGCTATCACGCATGGTTTTAATTTTATTATATCTGTAAGCTTTGTATAGATATAGAAAGTTTGTGAAGGAATTTCCATTGGTAGTCCATTTATGTGTTCTTGTTCGTGGAAAAGATGCAAATATTTTGTTTTTCCTGTTCTGTGGGGTTGAAAAATATGGCATACTTAATTTCACTCGACTGTTTTTAAAAATTTTTTTAGTGATTTTGAATTTTGATCGTGCATAGGTAGTAGAACTTCTCATCCGCAAATTGGAAGGTGAACCCAGCTTTTATCGCCGGATTGATCTGTTCTTTCTTGTGGATTCCATTACTCAGTGCTCACATACTCAGAAAGGTAAGGACTTGCACAAGACTTCCAGTGTTCTTTGTTGCCTACGCTGTGCTTCTTTTAGGAAGTATTGTGTTATATATATATATATATATATATATATATATACATACATACCACTTAATTCCTATGTATTTACATATCTAGAACCTTTTACATATATGCCACCTTACCTATGCTTGAAAATGTTTCATTTTTAAGAGTTAAAAATAGTGGTACTTTTGATTTGATATGAAAGCTTTGGTTGGTATAATTATAAAAGTAAATTTTAGGTGCTAGATATGTAAATACATAGGATTTGGGTGTTATATATATAAATTTCCCATATACATATATGGGGAGAGCTAGAGAGCTCATTTGCACACATATTCCATCTGGCATCCATAATTTTGTTGGATTTCACTTAGCCTTTCTATTTGGAATTTTTTTAGGCATTGCAGGTTCATCGTATATTCCCGCTGTGCAAACTGCATTGCCACGCCTTTTGGGTGCTGCTGCTCCTTCCGGAGCTTCAGCTCGTGAGAATCGACGACAATGCCTTAAGGTAATTTCCATGTAGTTTTTATTTGTAATTTCATCTCTTGTTAATCAATGAAACCGAATGAATTTTCAGTTTAAACTAATAAAAATTAAATGATGCTCAAAGGTTTTGAGGTTATGGCTGGAGAGGAAAATTCTGCCAGAATCACTTCTTCGTCGATGCATGGAAGAAATTGATGTTTCTAATGATGATTTGAATTCTGGGCTTTTGCTTAGGCGCCCCTCTCGTGCTGAGCGCTCTGTAGATGATCCGATCAGAGAAATGGAAGACATGCTTGTCGATGAGTATGGGAGGTGAGGAATTATTTATTTCGGTGAGGAATTATTTATTTCCTGTTTGTTTCATCTATGTAAATACTTGAATTTTATGGTTTTTTTTTTCTTTTTTTTTTGGGAAAACTGCTTGATGTGTCATTTTTACGAATTTCAATTTAGATTCTTGCATTAATTATGCAATCTATTATTCAACCTAACCAATATTATTTGCTAAGGGCTCAAATTATATTGTTGTAGCTTTTTAAACATTTATTCTTACTATGCTTTGTGCATGCGATGTCTTATTAGTTATTTTATTCTGTTTATGAGTAGGTCTGTAAATTGAAACATTAATGGTTTTTTTTTTTCCAGTGTTGAACATTAAATTTTATGTTTTTGTGGTACATCAGATAACATTACCTACTGATATCTTTTCATGCTTCCAGCAATGCAACATTCAAGTTTCCTGGTCTACTGTCTGCTCACGTTTTAGAAGATGATGAAGATTTTTGCTGCAGTCCCCCCAAGGGCATCGCAACTAGTTCTCCCCGTGAAGCAGTTGGTGGTTTGGGAAGCCATTTCTCTGGAAATCATCCTGTAGACAAACATCACCATATTTTGGAGAATGTGGAACGAGAGATGGAGATGGAAGATGCGCCTTCAAATTTCATCGACAGAACTGTTTCCTTCAATTATGCACTTCCTCATGGAGAATGTGATATGGCTGAGGAATCCACATTTAACAGTCAAAATGTTATCCCACCTCTACCTGCAGGATCTCCTCCTCTTCCATTTGATCCTCCACCCCCTCCACCACCATTGCCTCCTTCACCACCTCCTCTTCAACCCCCACCTCCATCCTCGTCCGCCACCCCCTCCATCACCTCTGCCTGCATTATTAGCTGAATCATCTCTCTCTCAACCTCCTTTGCCTTTATCACCATTTCCATATAATAGCCATCATTCCATTACTCAGGAATACTGCAGAACAGAAACTGTAAGTTTTTAAACTGGCTTCCTGTACTCATATTGTGCTAGAATATGTTTGCAATCTCTTTTTCGCTTACATGCAGGAAAATCCGTTACTCCCAATAACTAACAATTCCATCGAAGATTTGAGTGCTTCTGGAGCGAAAGATAAAGTGATTATGCAGCAATCTTCTAATTATGGAACTGGAGTTGGATACACATATTTAGCGCCTCAGGTTTCTCACCCCAATCAACTGTTTCAGCAAAGTGTTGCATCAGTTCAACACATACCTTCGCATCCCATTCCATCACAGGCAACCTTAAACCATTCCATTCCAAGTTGTCAGATCCAATGCAATCAGCCATCTTATGAGAAGCCAATTACACAACAACAAATGCCGCAGCAATATAACCCATACACCTTATCATCTCTTCCACATGGTCAGATGCAATATAGTGCTGAGGAGCAATGGAGGCCGCAGTCTGGTGATGCCAAACCAGAAAATTCTGGAGCTTGGATGGCGGGAGGGAGAACACCTTCGTGCTCTGGTGCACCTTTTGTACAGGATGGTATGTTGGGGTGTGCATTATTTGTTCAAAGCTGGAAAATCGAACTGAACCAAACCGATTAACTTTGGGTTATTTGTTTTGGTTTCAAAATACATTCCATTTTTTTGGTTTTCAAGAACTCAAAATGTGCCTTCTGAATTTTGGTTTTGTTTTAGTTTTCATTTAACCCAGCAAATCAAAAAAAATTTAAAAAAAATGAAATCAAATGGTGGATTCGTGAAATTATATTGATATTATAAAGTAAGATATGTAATTATTGATGTTTGTTCATAATCAAATTTCAGCTAACAATTAAATCTGGTTTTATTTATAAACTAAACCATTTAAACCGGATTATACTAAAGTTCGGTTATTTCAGCTTTATTAAAATTTTGATTGGTTTTATTTTTTGTATTTCGGACTTCGGTTACAATCTGTTTATTAAATTTGAAAACCAATCCTTCCATACTGGCCAAATGCTCACCCCTAATGGTATGCGTCATTTCACGTGCATTGATGGATCTACTATAAACTTTGCTAAAATCAAAGATACATTACACGCACTTCTTAATAACATAGAAGTATTTCAACATCGCTGTACTTTTGGAGGTCAGTATACTATTATTTGTTTAAAATCACTGTTGTAGCTCCTTAATTAAAGCTTAAGCACTATTTTGCTTGTTTATTTGGATAAGATTTGTCTCCCTTAAGAAGAAAATATTCCACGTTAGATAGGATTATTAATTTGAGTTAATTATTGAAATTGCAGGTTATTTTATGCTAAATATGGAAAGAGCATCATCAAATTCTATGATTTTTCATCCTCCACATAGCACAACACCATCTGGAACTTCAATACCGGGTACTTAATTATAACGGCAAAGATATACTTCACATAAATATCTTTGCATACGGTTCGTGATATTTTGGTTTTCTGCTTTCTTCAGGTCATTCCTTCCCTCAAATGATACCCAAAACAGACTTCCCTACTATTAATTTCTGGAGACCGGCATAGATTTGCTTATAATTGTTTAAGCACTCTGGTATGAACTTTTTTCTTTTCTATCTATGTAAGTAGTTACTCTCAAATTATAGAATAACATTTTTTTTATATATATTTTGCCAGCTAAAGGAGCTTTGGAGCATCTTGATTGCCTAGTGAGGTCTAATCCTCCTTTTATTTCAGCTCTTCAATCTTACGGGAGCTTTAAAATTCTGGATGATTATTGAAATATATTCCATTGTAATGGGGTTTGATAGATGAAAAAGAGGCAGCTAGTTTTGGCAGAAATATGTACATTGTAGGGTTGCTCTGATTTAAATAGTGCAGCAGTTGTCTCAGAGCTAAACACAAGGCATTGTATATCAAAGAATGATGACATTGTCAATATTTTGCCCATCAATTGAAATTCTAGTATCTTTTTGAATCTTTGTTCATGTTGCAGAGAATAATTTTAGTTATGTTCATTTAATTCTCAGGAAAAACAGTTATCTTTAGGTGTTTGTAACATTACCGTCCTCATTGTCCATCTGCTTTACTTTTTTTTGGTCGTCTCTTCAAATCCGTATTGTTTAAATGCTTATGGAGAGCCATTTTAGCTTAAATGTTTTCGATATTGTAGTTTATTAGATTTTTTTTTATTTGTTTTTGTGGGAACTCGATTGTTTAGTCTCCAGTAGGGCTGTATTCGATTTGAGTCGAGTCAAGTAGAGCATGTCATGGTATGGACTTCTCTTGGTAGTATTATATGTTCTTCGTGCTCGAGCTCGAGCCGAGCTTTCACATGCGTGTTAATAGATGGCTTGTTTAAATTTTTTTGATAAATGTTCTTGATTTGTACTCAATTTGTTTATATTTCAACAAGTTAATAAACAAGCTAAAATTTTAAATGAATTCTAAACTTTCTATATAAATTTATTATTATTTTTTTATAAATTTACATAAATAAACAAATAAATAAAAATCTAATTTATATTAAAGTGCTTTACAACAATTAAATAAAATAAAATATAAGGAGCGAGTAAGTTTTCTTATAATCAAATAATACCAATATGTACTAATAAACTAATTCATTGAAGTAACAGAATAAGAAGGAATTTCTTAGATTAAAATGAATACTAATTTTAAAGTATAATATATTACTATTAAATATATAGTTAAATAAATCATAGTTAATCATGCTTTATTTAAATAATATATAATATAACTATAGATGATTTAACAAGTTACTTGGTGATTATTAAAAGAGTTTATTTGTAGTAAGCGTTTCTATAATCAAATAATACCAATATGTACTAATAAACTAATTCATTGAAGTAAAAGAATAAGAAGGAATTACTTAGATTAAAATGAATACTAATTTAAAAGTATAATATATTACTATTAACTATATAATTAAATAAATTATAGTTAATCATACTTTATTTAAATAATATATAATATAATTATAGATGATTTACGAGTTACCTGGTGATTAATAAACAAGTTTATTTGTAAACATAAATAAATGAATTGAATCATATTCATATTTGATTCATTTAATTTTGAAGATTTAAAAATGTTAAACATTTTTATTTACTAATTTAAACAAAGTTAATTGAGTTTGAAGTGTTCATTGACTACATTAGTTCATTTACAACCCTAGCCTCACTTGAAAATTAGTTCATTTAGTCTCATTTGATCTGATGCACAATGTGAATATTCAAATTCAGTTTCAAAAACCTAGTAGTATTGTATTTAACATGTATTCTTGTAAATAAACTTCTAGCTGCACCTTTGTGTGATTAATATAGTTCATTACCAATTTAAATGATATGTGTCAAGAACTTGATGCCTGTGTTTATACATGAACTTATAAAATTACTTGGCAGATGACATTCTCTTCATCGGTATTTCATGATTTGACTTATGAATATAATAGTTTTGATAGATAATACTTTAAAATCAAAATTTTCTTTATTGTTTTGCTTGTAACTCTTTTATTTTACCATTTAACATCATATCAAGAAGGAAGATAATGGAGGCACAAATAAGATGTGTATTGTCTTAAATGACTTGTTGATATTTAGGGTCTGTTTGCGGAAGCTGCAAATTATTTATAATTTGCTTATTTGCAGATTATCCTAACAATTTGATAATCTGCAGATTAACCTGATAAACTAACTAGTTGTTTGGAGGAGCTTATTTAGAACAACTTATTAGTATTTGTTTTTGGATAATGATCATTATGCCCCTGTTAAGTAATGTTGTTTGCAACATAACTGTCTGGGCAATATAATTCATACAACAGAAGCAGAAAATCAATACAGAACAATTTTAAAAAATAAAATACAATCCTCGTTTACGCGTGAGTATCAAAATTGATAAAATAAAGAGAAAAACAATTACAAATACAATTAAAATTATTAAAATGTTGATTTTAAAACTCTGACGACATATGTCATTAGCTGTACCGTTCTCCTGGGAAACCTCTAATTCAACATTTACACGTGAAACACCTAAAACTCTGCCTCCAATTCATGCTTCGACACATAGAAATTATTTAAATAGATAGATTGAAACAGATATGGGACAGCAAGTGAGCCACAAAATTCCAAAAACAAACGTTGGTGAAATAATAAGAAACTCTAAACATTAACAACTTAAGAACAAGCACAGCTCCAAACTGCACTGCAACTATCCATCAAAAACAACTCATTCTAGCATGCTTCCACCAAGCCTAATTGCACTGCAAGCATAGCTTGCTCTCTTGGCAATTCTAACCAAAGAAACATATGGAAATGCCAAGACAAAAACCCGAAGGCATAAAATCGCAAATCCTAAAGGATTGGGGAGAAGAATTTAAGAAGAGGAGAAGGAACATATTGAAATGTCAAACGCATTCGGCAAAGGAGAAAATTCCATACAAAAAATCAATCAAAAGCGCAACATTACCCAACGAAATCCAACTAACGAAATCCAACTAACGAAATCTAACTGAAGAAGCACCAACTTACAAAAATCATTCCATTCAATACTTACAAATCGACCGTTTGGAGAGGGCTTAGGGAGGATTTAAGGCAGATGAGAGGCGAAGGAGCAGTGATGAGTCGAATAGAGCACGAGAGCTTGAGAGGCGAAAGATGCGAGAAAGCGTTAGGGCAAACGAAAGAAAGGGCAGCCAGGTAAAACAGAGCTAACGAATGCGGGCGGTGGGGTCGATCCCTCGGCTGCGTATATTAAAGAAATAACGGCGGCGTTATGAAAACACCGTCCGAATGCGTTAAACAAACGCGTATGCGGCGTTTTCAAAACACCGCCGCACCAAATAAGCGCCCCCAAATGGTCCCTTAGTAAGGATTAGAGAGAATAAGTTGATTTTTTCTTTCTAACTTTTCTTTGATATTTATACTATTCTACATGAGTTTCTAATAGAAAATATACAAAATTCGGGCATAATAATTATAGAATAGTTTCAGTAGTCCACAAATTTTCAGGTGACGTAATACTGACTATAAAAAAGTTGCAATAGTCCACGGTTTGATGAGATGATGTTGAAATCTCATGGATTGTTGAGGGGGCAGGAAGTATAAAGAAAATTGGAAGCCTGATGAGTACAATGGAACATTAATTTATGTAAAATTAATGGAGATTAATTTTCGAACCAATTCACTAATTTTCTTGTTGAATTTAGGCTGTTTGTTATAGTTCCAAATGAATCTAATACCGAAGGAACATAATTATTTTGTGATTTATAGGAATTAAAAAAGTGATAGTATTGTTTTTAAAGAGCATGAATGATAATATAAGGTTTTAGCAATAAATGCTACAACAAGTGGATTAGGTGGAATGAAAAGGGACTTGTAGCAATTAACACTTGCAAGTTTTGAGCAATGCAATGATGAAAGTTGTTACTTATGGAAATGCCAGGGGAAAAAGCCTAAGACTTTGATACTATGACAAGAAATGCAGAAGAAAATTGTTTATTATTTCTTTCAAGTTTCTTATAGTGTTTGTACAATCCTAGGATAGCTTGTAATAGGAAACATGCAAAATCTGGGAATAATAAGTACATGATAATTATAATAATCTACCAATTAATAAGATGACACTTTTAATCTCATGGATCACTGAAGTTAAATGAAGTGAATAAGGAAGGTGGAGAACTATTGTGCTCTGTGGAACATTGATGGAGGTGAAATTAAAGGAATCGGAATTTACGGAGATTGATTTTTTTCATTATATTGCTATAGTATTTATTTTCATTTTAGTGGTGGCTCATCCAATTGACATATGAGTTTTTCAATGATTAATTTGAAAGAGCGTATTTTTTGTACCCCAAGAAGTTTATGTCAACTTTCCTCTTCCTGGCCACCTGTCTCTTTATGTTCCCCTGTAAATTCCTTTTTTTTTCCTTAAATTTTTTGAACTGCTACTCTTCACTATATATTGTAGTTACAGTTAGAGTATCTTGTCAGTGGTGTCATTACTGTACAGAGTTTCAATAGATGGCAACTCATTAAATAATCTGAAACTTTATATTTATTATTATTTAGGTTTATGCAGATGCAAAATATGTTTTATTTTGTACATTATATGTGTTTCTACTTCAGGTACCTGGGATCACTTTGAAAACATGACTCGTGTTTGAATTGGTTGATGCAACAACTTGTTTGTTTTCGTGGAGCAACATTTTTAACCAACTAAATTCTTTTGCAACTTTAAACCTCAGCTGGAAATGTAAGGTTCTCAATCTCAAGAAAGGTAGAAATAAGTTGCACTCTAGTTTCTTTTAGTTGGTTCACAGGTGCATCTAAACTAGGGGCATTTACAGACATATCACACAATTGTTATGTACATAGCTCTCACCTAAACTTTCAAATTTACACACATAACACTCAAATATTTAATAGCTCATAAAAAATAGCACTATTATCATTTTTAAAAGTGAAATACATCTTTTCATGCATTGGTTAAAAATGTTATGTATGTAAATATGAAAGTTTAGGTGTAAGACGTGTAAATACAAAAGAATTGTGTACTAGGTATGTCACTTTCCCTCTAACTATGGGATGAATTTTTAATTTTACTTGATTTAATCTTTTGTTTCTTAAGACCAATCTCATGTCTTTGAAGTTTCATCATCCGAAAAAGGCCTTATTTTATTAAAGAACTACTAGGGAGACCATCCAATTATTTGATCTCAGAGTCCATTATCAGCAATGTTATTTATTCTTGGGGGTTAAAAATACAATAGAAACTTTGGATGAGGTTAATATTGTAAGTTTTTCCCATTCTTTACAGGCTTGAATTTCATGTTTATATGAGGCAATGGTTACTCAACAGATGGTAAACTTAAGCTCAACTGTTAATACAAAATTGTAAACCAGCAACTTTTTATTTATTTTTTTGGATGTTATTTTGATTCGCCGTGGATATTTGGTTGGCTGAATGCCCTTTTGAAGATCAGAAATAAAA